GGGAGACACAGCATACTCACTAGAAACCCATCTCATCTCACACTGACCTATTTTGAAAGAGTAAGCTCTTCTTCCCTGACTCGATTTACATGCTGGCTGTCAAGTTATAAGAGCATCATTTGACAGTGAAGATACTGCTGTTTGTATCGGCAACCACCAGCCTAGCAAGAGTTTGTAATTTGACTAACAGCTCATGACATTATTCTTATTATTTATTTTTGGCAGAACAAATGCAGCAACAACTTTCTTCCATGGCATCAGCTCCAAATGTCTGTGGCATCTGATCAGCCAAGGCTCTTTTTAAAAAATTCAGCCATACTCCTCATCTTGCTAACTTTACAGTCCCCCATGGCATCTGTGTGCAATGAACTGAGCTGTTGAGACTAAATGCAATTTGCAATCAGGCTTCTGTTAATGTGGAAATGTACCGGCTGCTCTCCTGCAGTATGGATTCTCATTCTGTCTAACATATGGTAGCATTAAATCCAGTCTGGAGTGCCTCTCATTACCACACTGTCAGTCTTTACAGAGTAAAGAATCCTGAAAAACAAGTGTGAGAGAAATACATTTCAGGAACTGGCTCTCCTCTAGCAGAGCTTGTTGGAACTATCAAAGGGAGACCGTACATCAAACACTATCCCTGACAGCCATTGAAGCAAGTACAGAAAACTGATGTGAACACTGGTGCAAAAGCCGTGTACTTCCCAAGGCAGGTATCACATAGGGAGAAGAGGACAAGGAGAATCAAACAAGAGCAAGTTCATTATTAACATGTTAAAAAGAATCAGTCTGTTCTTCTGCTACCAGTATGGGAGAGATTTTGATTCAGGAAGATAGCCTTGGGTATGAAGCCGACAGTTATGTAAAGACTTGATACAAATGTAAGCAAAATAAGAAATATATCCATATACACAGAAAACAAACAGACAAACCTTTAGCCATGAAGTATTCCATTGCAGCTTTAGCCCATTGTACAGCACATAAGCACTGGAATTTCTTCAGTGTTAACATATCTCCCATTGTCATGCAAGGTAATTTTAATTTTGCTACTTGAGTGTTATGAATAATTCAGAGTGTTTTCTCACTGTCTGCTCTGATGGATGTCCTCAGATCATCTTCCCTGAGGCGCTCAGAGCTCTGGACTTAGTGAAAAGGATACAAGCTGTATCTGAAGAGAATTAAGAATTGCTGTGGCCCAACAGGGGCCTGGGCATCTGAGTCATGAGTTCGCAGTGCTGGCTTATTCTTAGCTTTCTTTGGTCAATCCCACCCTGAGGACCACAAGCATCTGCTCTACTCATGCACACTCATGTTATTTGTTACTTGCAAACCCAACAATTTGTGTTTGGTGCCATGAGCCTTTGAAGTGTGAAGAATCCCAGAGTTAAGATTGTGAGCTAATGTCAGAAGTAAAAGTTACTATTGCAGATGATCTTAACGCCTGCTTTTTCTTCCAGATGCTTCTCTGAGAATTCCTTATGAGTGGAAGTTCTTTTAATATAGGCCTGTATCTGGCTGTTGAAGAGCTCAAGACAAAGGTAGCGTCAGTTGCTCAGGAGTGTGATTACAAAAACCTTGAGTACTGAGATATAAGAGGGAAAAGTGGCAGCAGATCTAAGACTACTTTTCCATCCTGGAAGATTCAACCATATATGGTTGAAGATATGAGTGACACTAGCACCACAAAGTGCTTCCTGGCAGTATTGTTTAAGAATAATGTGCCTGTTGAATATAGCTTCTTCTTTCTTTATTACACTTCTCTATATCTCTTGGTAGAGCTAAGACCTAAGAAACTGTGTATTGCCTAGGTTGGACTCTGGCTCTATCACTGGTTCTCATATCTGCAATATCACTTTGTGAATATTTTAGTGTCCTGACCCATAATGCCATGGCAGTCTTAGAATGGCACAACTATGGGCAGATTTGTGAGAAAAATAGAAGCAAGCAGTTTGCTGGTTGAAGTTTTTTCATCAGGAAATGGTTGTAGATAGGAAGAAGACCTGGACTAGAAAGAAGATGAGGTACTTTGGATCTTCCTCAGTTCCAGATGGCCAGAGTGTTTCATATGTGTTCACATAGAGGAAACTGTATTTTACATGGAGACAGAAATAGGTGTGCTCATCCCAGCTTCAACGCAACTTCATTTTTGTTGTCTTTACTTCAATTAAAAATGTGAGGATTGACCTAGCAGGATCTCATTTTTGAGCTTTAGGCTACTGCAGTTGTGGCTAGTGAAAACAAGGATAATCTCCATTGTGAGAACTGAGTCGATCAAGAGACATCTCATCTCCCCCAGGAGGTTACTAATCCAAATTTAATCCAGGAAGATAAAATTGAAGGTCAAGAATGAATTTTAGTACATGTTTAAATTCTGAAAAATGGAATGGAATTTAAGAATAGAAGTGTATGTTTATGTACTTATATGAATATGGGTAGAAAAGGGGGTATTCCCAAGTCGCTTGCTTAGTCAGATTCTTAAACCTCTTTCTGAGAAAACGTGGATGTCAGTTTTATCCTGACTGTGAGTAGTTAGTTTGTCCTCAGTAGCAGGAGGGCAACAAGCAGCTCTTGTCATGTTTATCCTAAATGTGACAACCGACAGTTCCTAACTCTGTAACTCTCTCTTCTCCTCCTCTACAAGGGATACTCACTTAGTTGTCTCAGTGATATCCAACTGGGCTGCATCCCAATTATTTGTTTTTCTGGTAATCATCCATATTTCCATGTAAAAAAAAATTAAAAAATACCATTGAAATAACTGTGGTTGTACAAAGTAAATAACTGAGCAGAAGCTCTCAGCATCTGGAATGGGAAGAGGGGAGGATACTTTTTTGAGAAAGTGTTTTCTTTGCTTTTAACCTATATCCTCAGGTTCCATCATCAGAGACCTTAAGCAAAGATGCACTGCACTCCCCTTTGCTCCTGTGCTTTGGTGCCCCATGACAAGGAGAGAGAAGGCGTGTGAGGTTCTGCGCAATGTTTTCTTGGCGCCAATACCACTGTATGCAGGGAAAGTACCTACAGCTCTCAGCCCTCAAAATGCTTGTGGATTCAGCCTGGCAGAGTTCATTTCAGATTACTTTGATCCTTGCCCTAAATGCTATCCCTGTCTTGAAAAGTGAGAGGTCTGGTTTGCAGAGGCATAGTGTCCTCACGGTGTCTGACAGAGACCTTGTTTGTCCTGACACTACTGTTCATCTTGGTGATTTTAGCACTTTTGATGAGCAAAAGTGCTTGGGCTTTGTGTGCCTTTGATGTGAGCAACTTCTGGTTATGTGGAAGCACTATTTGTGGCCATCTCTCCAAAAGGAGGTTGTCTAACAGGGATGCTGCGCATGTGGCTTGTGACTCAGATTTTGGTTGACTCAAGAGTTTCCTGCCAAGAGCCACCTTCATGATGGGTTGTGTTTTCTGCTTCTGCTTAGGCCTAGGTCATCTCTTGCTACCTGTTTCTCACTTGGTTTGTATTCTGACCAATTACTGCAGCTTTGACTGTCCTATCTCTAGTTCTGATTTCTGGGCAAGCTTTACAGGAAGAAAACTGCAGGGCAGGCAATAGAAATAGATGAAAATGCTTGTAGTATCTGCAAAGTGTAGTGAACTGTCAAAAAGTTGGTACAGAGGAAGCAGTATTAAGCACCAAGAGTAACGGGTGCTGCACCTTGGGCTTTTGGAAAGTGCTGGTGAAATAAAAAGGGGAAAGTTGAAGGCATATTTTAGAGATCCATAGATCAAAGATAATGGTGTTATGGTGTTTATTACAACTTCCTTGCAATGATCTAAAGCAAAAGATGTAGTAGTCATGACCTGAAAGGCATTTGGAATCAATGGATATTGCTATTGATACCAAATGTTTTATATTCTTCGTTCTCCTACCCTGACACTATGCAAATTCACAGTAATTCTCTAGAAACATGCTTGAGGACAAGGGGGCATGATTATTCAAGCTTGATGGGATTTGCCTATGTTATTTTGGGAACAGAAATCAAAGTTTTTGTGAATTTAGCAGTACTTGAAGCCACTGGCTCTCTGATGGGACTTCAAAAGAAGAATTGTGAGGCTGGAAAATGTGTATCTTTGCTCATCATCCCTTGGTCGAGTTTCCCTTGGCCAAACTTGCAATAAAACAAACCAATTAACCAGAGATGTTTACTAGTTCATAGTATGTGAAAAGCTTCAATCACAGGCAGTTTTTGAATGGCCAATAATAAGAACTTCTCACTTCTGTGTAACAAGGTCTGTTTACAGACTAATGAAGGGAAGGATGTCTCCATAGTAACCTGTAAAGCAAGCAAGTCTGCATCTTCCACTCTGATACAGTCTTGGTAAACAGGTTGTACATGTGCTTTTAAAAAAAAATCAAAAAACCAAAAAACAACCCCTCCAAAACCCAACCAAAATAAAACAAGCTTTTGGATTATGTAACTTCCATTACTACTAAAGAGCCGCTGGTTTCAAGATCTGCCTCTCCGCTTCCTCTTATTTGTTATATTTGAAATGTTCTAAGAAATTCAATAAATTTGAACCGATGTGAGTTGCTGTTAAATCAGGGGGTCTGTACCTGAAGGGCTCTTCTGCAGGTGAAGAGACAGGGAATTGTGAATAGTCTTCAAACATATAAACAGATACTGTGAGGAAGAAACGTTCACATTGCCTGTGGACAGGGCCAAAAGTCTTGGGCTTACCTTGAAACAGAAAATGTGGTCAAGCCTAGGCATGAGACAGCATTTTCTAAGGGTGTGAGGAGTTAGTCTTTAATGAATTCCTGACCAAGGTTATACAATTTTCCTTGCTGGAGATTTTAAAAAACCAAACCAAACACACAGCCCCTTCATCCACTCACTCCAAACAAACGAAAACCCAGCAGCCCCCCAGAGCCCAGACCAGGAATTGTTTAAGTGGAGATTATTGTGTCTTAAGACACTGGGATAGCGTTGGTGACTTTTTGAGTTCCTGTTCAGTACTGCATTCTATGATCCATTATATTTCCTATGGGTTTCTCCTAGGAAGCAGGTCTGTTTTTTTTCTGGGAAAAAGATACGAAAACTGCTTGTTGGTTTCTGTCTGATGTCACTTTTGTGAACTGCCAATTTTGTGAACCTCTCCTGTTGGAAGGATGGATAGTATGTGAGAGAGGTGAGGTCCAGCACATGAAAATAGAAAAGGATGCTTGAATGTGCAACTTCAATCATCATGGCTGCTTTCCCTGAAAGACCAAATCTCACTCAGGGCTACAGGAGCAAACTAAGCCAGCGGTGCACTGCCTGGAGGATGACTATGTGATACAGCACCAGACTACAGAGATGGGATGAAAGGTAGGAGTTGGCCAACAGGGTGTCCCATTCCATTCCTTGTACTGGTGTCCATGCCCATTTGTGTCATTGTTTCAGTACACAATTACCAAACCCTCAAATTTCCTTTACAACTCTGGAGAACTGTCTTGTAGGAACTCTAAAATTCAGGGTTTTTTTCAGGCTTTAGAAGTCTGAGGAAGGTAGCCATTGGGATCTGGAGGGAGCAGATTTCCGGGACTCCCTGTTTCAGCTGGGCTGGTCTCATTGCCCATTGGTATTTCCTAAGCTGGCAGATGGAAGTGGAAATTTCAAAATGTTGGAAAACAATTCCAGTTACTATTTAACGCCCCCCCCCCCCCCCCCCAACAGCAACAACAAAAAAAAGAACAACAAAAAAAACCCACCCTTTGCAGAAAAAAAAAATGTATTCTGGTGAATGCCGGTGAAGGGACAAACATTTGTAGATCATAATGTTATTTGAGCATGATTCCTGATTGTTGAGAACATGCTGAGACCTGGGCAGCATGCATCTCTCCTTCCTTATGATTTTTCTTCATGTTGTTTTTTTTTCCTTCCCTTCTACTCGTAACGTCTGCATTAATTTCTGCTGCCACCCAATATCTCCTATTGCCAATTTAATCCTACATTAATCAATAATAATCAGAGTTTCCTCTTTGTTGCCGTCTGTTTTCTTGATAGGGGCTGTTTTTAAGAATGTGTTTGTGGCAAAGCTCTTCCAGGGGTGTGGCAAGTGTGGAATTGGATGGGAGCTACAGAGCCAGCGGGGCAGGGATGGGAGAGGGCACACCCCGGGGAGGATGGGTGCTCTCAGGGAGCACCTCCTGCTATCTTTCCCCCGTCCCCTGGGGGCCGGCGAGGGCTTCTCCCCTGGGTACCAAGGTGCCCGCGGGAGATGCTGCGGGCCTGACTGGGCGTTATGGGCGGCCATCTGCTGCCACCTCCTGTCCAAGCAGGCGATGGCACCGACCACAAGGGTCCGGAGCTGCCCGCTGCCCGCGGGAAGCCGGGGGTGGCAACGCGAGCTGATGGGAAACCACCTCCAGCCTTCAGGGAGGAAACTGCCATCTCCTTGACGCTTTGAGAGTGGTGCCTATGTGAGCAAGGGCAGCGAGGATGCCAGGTGTCTTGGGTGATACTGCTAGCCACTGACCTGTCTCATATTTTTATTGTCTCTACCATGCAATGGTCTCGTTTCCTTTTGCAGTTTGCTCTTTCTGGGTACCTTGGCAGCTTAGAACCCGCAGCCAAGGAATGACCAACACCCCAACATGTTGGAGGCACCTGGCCAGCAGCAACTGCAGGAGGAGGCACACTGGTCGCTCCTCTCCATCCCCTGCGGCAGGGCTGCAGCAGGGAGCAGGGGTAGGACTGCCTCTTTTCCCTCGCTGCATTTCGCAGCCGCTCCCCGTCGGCTTCGGGCTCCTCATCTGGGGCTTGAACGCCGGAGGAGGGTGTGCCATGGTTACTGTGCCAGAGCTGCTTGCTGGCAGACAGGCTCTGGCTGGGGCGGCTGCCGTGCTGCTGGCCAGTCCACAGTGACTTGCTAGTGCTGGTGACTAGTCCTTGCTTTTTAATTTGGATCCTGAAGCCTCATTTCTGCTTTCAGGAGAGGGCAAGGGCTACTCTTTGTCCTTGCTTGCTTTTACTTCTTTGGCTTGTTCTCTAATAGCTATTGCAGCTTCCCTGCTGCCTGCGGTGACTACAAATTTGAGCTGAATTAATCCCAGACAGAGGTTCAGTCCTAGGCAAACTTTCCTTCCCAAATGTTCAGTCTGAAAAGACATGAAAGCAAGACAGGTTGCCACCTACCTTCCTCATTCCTGCCTCATCCTGGGCAAAAGTTTGTTCTTAACCTTCAAGCAGGACAGGCTCTTGGTGCTATGCTGGGCACCGACCAGGCAGACATCGAAGGGCGAGTCTGTCTGCCAGACCTCAGCAAGCAAACAGCAGCAGTGTGGCTGGCACTGACAGGTTTTGCTTGCCACCCTGGAAGCAGCCCTTGGTTGCAGCAGAGGTGTTGCTGCTCCTTCCCCAGCTGGCCCAGGTTGCTGGCCCTGCTCAGACCTTCAGCCTGTCCTTGTGCAACCCTGTGCTGGCCATATTTCATCCTTTTCAGTTATGCCTCTCCACATCTCCTAGAAGCATCAAGATTTGAGCTTTGGTTTCTCCCTGTTTTCTTTCCCAAGGACTCTTATTTCATGGCGTCCTGCCCTTTTGTACTGAGGTTTGTTTTCGTGCTGCCTGGCTGAGGTCAGCATCTGTTCCCACAGTCCCTGCCCAAGGGGACTTTCTGATACTGGATAACACAGTTGCAGGCCCCAGACCCTCTCTGGTAAGAGCTAGGTGTTAGATCCCAAAGCAGCCACTCTTTCTAAATCAAACACAAGGAAACCGACTGCCTTCCTCTTTATCTCTGGGTCTATGCATGCAGGTATTCCCCATAAAGAAAGTGGTACAGCTACCATGTGGTGGGGACCACAGCAGGAGCCCACCTACCCTAAGAAGCCTCATGGTTGGTGTTCCTGGCAAGAGCTTTTATCTGAATTTGGATGCTGCTTCATCCTTGACCTGAAACTAACAGCATGGTCCCTCTAACCCCATGCCTGTGACAGGTAAAATTCCTTCTGAGCTGTTTTTCTGAGGGGTTTTTTTGTTTGTTTATTTGTCTGGGTTTGTTTTTGCTGTAGAGCTCCCTGTGCTGCCATATTGCAAAAGAGGCTGAAAAGCTACAGAAAAAAACACAGAGAGCCTCTGCATCCCCAGACACGGTGCTGCGCCATGCAACAAGCTGCTGCTTTGGAACTCATAGGTAATTGTTAGTCCTGTCAAGGGCCGGTCTTTTAGTAGTGTAAAAATCACTATGGTTTTATTTCAGGCTTGTTAGACTGGGCAAATTTTACCAAGCAAGTATGCAGGCTGTGGGCACAGCTGGAGTTAAACAGAAAAAGCCTGATTCCCCAAATACTAGATTTTCTCTTACTTGGTTAGAAACAGGGAAACAAAGTAAATAAGAGAAGGGAGGGCTGGGGAAGTGGGGAGAAGGGAAGGGGAGAAAACTTTGTCCTTTCTGACAAAACTGTTTTCACCTCCTCCTTCTAAAGAGAGGTTTTATGCCATATGGAGTTTCAAATGTTTGTTTGCTCTGCCTACTTAGTTATTTACCGCTCTGAGAGTCTGTGCTGCCTTTGCTGGCATGCTCAGTCTTTCAGAGAGTATGACAGAGTGCAAGGCTGTTTGCCTATTTCTGCTAACACTTATTTAGCAGTGAAGTTGGTTTCTGATGCAGGTTTTGCCATGAATTCTTGTGCTTGGAAACTAGCAGGAGCATGGTCATAGTGGGGATCTTAAGGGAGAATTTCTTTATCTTCTTCTAGGCAATAGTAACTCCTGTTCTATGCTTCGCTCTCACTGTTGTATTTAACTCATGAAAGAGGAGAAAGTTCTTTTATTCCTGAGTTTTGCCAGGTAAAGAAACAAAGGATTTTGCAGAGGAGAGTATGGAGAAAGAAGGGAAGGTAGATGTTGTTTAGCAAAAGGCTACTCAAAGCATCTATAGGAGAACCAAAGTCAGCCAGAAATTTTCTGGATCCCTTGTGCTTGCTCGGTGAGCATCCACCATCCTTGAATGTCAACTCCACCAGCTTTTCTTCTCCAACCTGTTTCAATAATCCTGATCTTCACCATCAGCTATGGGCTAGCCAGACCGGAAATTTGCATTCCTAGACAAGCTGATTACTGTTCTTCTCCATGTTCATTACCCTTATTAAGTTTCATGCTCCTTTTACCATGTTTCTGTAGGGCTGCAATCATCTCTCAAGGGCTATGAGGTGAATGCATCTTTTGCTTCAACCTCTTAAATTCAGTGTGGGGAAGGGCGACCTTTGCTGCTGAAGCCTAATGTTGTACACCTGTAGACTAAACAGCATTCTCTGGACCAGCTTCAGGCTGGTACACTGAACCAATATTAGCAAGTATCTGCAAGAGACCCCAAGTGCCCTGAGGGACCTGAGCTTGAAAGCTGCATAGTCCTGTTTCATAGTGTGGGTCTGCTTAACTACTTTTTGGAATTTCAGCAGCGCTTTGATATTTATTGTTTAATTCTGGATCCTGCCCTTCTTTCAGAATGACCTGTCACCCGTAGTTGGTGTTTTGGTTTTGTTTTGTTTTTCCTCTGTTTTTACAGGATAGGGAGAATGAAAGCCACTTCATTTTATTAAAACCAGAAAGGATCTGTTGGCTGTTTTGCCCAACATCTTGAACAGTACTGCCCGTGGGGCTCACTGCTTGTTCTCTGAACTGGGTCAATAATGTCTCTGACCCAGGACTTTTCCAGGCAGTAATCTGAGTGTTACTGATGCTTACTAAGCAATACTACCCTGCAATTATTCTTAAAAAAATAACAAAACAAACAAACAAATCTATGTATTTCTGCCTTATCATTTAAGGATCCTAAAACCCAGTTCTTTCTTAACTGTCTTTCAAGGAGACAATAACTGCTTGCTATGTTCTGGAAAGGTCCTTTATATTTGATATTAACTAATGGGGATGAAATTGCTCTTGGCTTTTGATATTCCTAAGTGTTCCCCTTTGGGGGCTGGATTCCTTCCCAGCAAGTGGCAGCAGCCACCAGCAAAGGTGAGTTTGACATTGCTGCAAACTCTCCCTGTAGCAACCCGTGCTACTGTGCCAGCATTGACTCCCTTTGTTCAGATTATTTATTGAAGGTGAACTTCTTGAGCACACAGAGTACAACATGTTTTCCTGAGCACAAGCAAGGATCACAGAGATATGCTGGAGGAAAAAGTCTCACCATAAGACCAAGTCAGACACTGCATAGGTTTCAGGCTGCTACCTCCAGCTACTCTTGGATGCTTGGTTCCAGGCAAGGGGCAGCTTCCCTTTTCCAGTAGAGCCTTTGGCTTAAGTAACCTGGGGAAAGATTATTGTTGTTGTTTATAATTCAGAAAGAAAGGAGGGAGAACTGGGATACTTGGCTCTCTGTACCTCCCTTTTCCTGTCTGTGAAGTGTGGGCGACAATACGTACCTTCTTCAGAGGGACATTTGCAAGCTAATGGACAGAAAGTGCTCAGAAACTCCCCACCTCAGCAATTGGGACACATTGGCAATCTGCCCAATAGTTTTGCCTTACCTAAGCAACAGTGGGCGATAAATGATACAAACATATTGTCTCTAATGTGCTGGCTGCTCTCTAGGTGGTGTGTGGTCTATGTATCTGCAGGGAGTGCTGCTATTTTGCTATGTGTTGGGAGCCTTCTCCTCCATTTCTTCTGGGTTCCACAGAATCTGCCTGCGACTTTCCTGGCAGAACTGCCTTTTTAGCCAGGAGACAGTTCCTGCATTCCAGCATTGCCATTAGCTCAAATAAAGTTTGGCTAATGGACCACAGTGCCTGCAGGTTCTTGAAGGCCGGCATGCTTCTGCAAGCATCAGACTGGGACAGGGTCTGATACCTCCAGCCTCTTGCTTAAATTATAAATGTTGACGCTTTTTATGGCATTGCAATTATGTTCTCTGTTGGCTCTGGACTAATCCTCCGTCATGACAGCAAGGCATTTCTCTGGATACTTATGCTGTGAGACTGGGAGCAGAATGCAACCCTGAAGGCTTTCAGCAGTAGTAACTTGCTTTCATTGCTAGTATATAAAAAACCTGCCACGCTGTCTCTTCTTTGATATCTTTCCTGGATTTGTGCTGCTGCAAGGCTTCTCTGATCTCTGTCACTAAATGACACAACATAGAAGGGCAATGTATAAGTGAAATTAGCAGAAGGGGATCTCTCTACTTTAAAACCAGAGTGATCTTTGGGAAAAGAATTACTTAGATCTTTGATGCTGCAAAAGGTCAGGCAAGTGGGGCATGCAGGAGAAATCTAGTTGTTCAAATAGTGGGAACACTGAGAGAAAAATGTTAGTGTCAATCTCAGGTTAATTGGAAAATATTCAAAGGACTTCGTTTTTGCTCAACTTTGAGGTTAGAAGTTCCCTGGGGTTCTATGGAAACAACGCAGTGCTGGCAGCAACTTTGAAATAAGCAGGAGTAAGCTGCAAAGCAAAGAAGTTGTTAGAGGGGATGCGACCTCCTTGTGGACGGATGCATGGGGCAGCAAGAAAGCAAAGATGAGAATGCTGTGCCAGCTGCTCTTGCTTCAAAAGAAGTCTGTGGTGTGGCATAAGTTGATAGGTATGAACATATCACTCCGAAGACAGATTCATCCTCTGTTCATCCTGACATCCAGCACCAAAGGCAAGGTCACCTAACTTCAAGCACTCCCTGGATTGTGTGCACAGCCTGTGGGAAGCACCAGACACACCAGCTGTGTTGTGACTCCACTGGTCTATTAGAAAGACCAACAGCAGCATCTGTGGTAAACCTTGTATTGCTCTGCAACAAAAGCCCAGGTTCTTGGATTAACCTTGTGCACTCATTAAGGCCACCCCTTTATTTTGTTATCTTTTGGGTTTTTTTTCTGCTTAAACATCAAGCGTTTCAGGGTAGGAAGCATCTTGGCTTGCTTGCATTGATACAGTATCCTGCAGAACAGGAACCTGCCTGTGGTACTGAGGCCTCTTGGCAGTGCTGATTGTAACCCATGGGTATGGGAGGCTGGGGACACTTGCCCAGCAAGTGTGGAGCCCGCAGAGCCAGTTCAGCTTAGAGAGCCACACAGGGAGCCTTTGGGGCTCTGAGCAGTGAGGGGAGAGTGATACAGCAAGGTTGTTCTTCTCCCTTTGCCTCATGCCAGGGTCATTCCAGCTGAGGACCTTTCTACACCATCTGCAGCAGGGCAACACAAGGAGATGAAGACTTTCTGTCATAACAGCTAAGAGGAGGTTTGAGAGCAGCTCTTTAGCCAGGGAGTTAAAGAAGCCAATTCAGAAAGAAGGCAGATTTGCTTTCCTAACCTGCTTCTGGAGAAAAGGCAACTCTCCAGGATTGGGACTTAGCTTGTCTGTATTGCCTCAGAAGGACTTCAGGCTTTTGGAGAACATGAAGGTTGATAACCATGTTCAGGGGTGCACAGTGTTTAACTACACACCTGGGTTTAAGGGACAGATGGTGATGACACGGATCATCATGGTGCATAATAGCCAAGAGTCATGGCCAAAGTAGCTGAGAACTGGGCACACTACCAGTCTCAAAGCATAACCTCCAACAGACCTCTTGGAAAAAGGAACCTGGCTGCAATTCTGAGGACAGTCCTCCAGGCTTCTTATGAAGAGCAGAAGTGTTTCCCACTTTTGGCCTGTGCGTCAGTTTTGATGATTGAAAAATCACTTCTATTGATTGAAGAATTCTCTCTTGCTTCTAGGAGTCTGAGTCAGAGAATAAGGAAATTGGGTTTCAGACTTCTTTTATGCTTGGTTTTTGTTCCCTCTCTCCCCACTGCACCCCACCCCCCCTCCCACACACACACTTTGAACCACTCTACGAAAGAATGAGACTGGCTGTTCTAGTTTGATCAACTTTGTAAGTTATGCCATCAAAATCTGCATGGTTACGCTTCCACAAAAGCTGGGACCTCTGTTGTACCTCCAGTCAGGTACCCAATCTTGAGCTGCAGAAATTCAGGGAAAAAATTCATCATTTAACTTGTGTGTGAATTAACTTCCTACCCAACCCCAAGTTAATGGTGCAGGTTTTGTTTTCCTGCTGAGTTTGGCTGGCTGGCTCAGGCTCCTAGCTCTCACTTTTTCCTCTGCATTTTACCTGCAGCCTTAAGTGCACAGTAGTAACAAGTAGTTTTCCTTGCTGAGGGAACTCAATGGTACCTGTGGGCTGTCATGAAGTTATCCACTGACCTTCTCTTTTTGCTCCTGTAGTGCTTCAAAGGCTCTGGTAATGCTCATTATCAGCGTCGTGTAATGGTCACAGTGCATTCCAAGAGTCAACAGTATGTTGTAAAAACGCCAAAAGCCAACACCTGTGTGGACTGCCCTTTGTATCCAACAATAAAGTAACCATTTGGTAAACCTTAACCTCATACTGACTGCTATTGCTGTTTTCTCCTGTGTCAACATCATTCAGCTTTTTCAGTTTAGGTTCAATGCAGATTGAAGACTGCATAAAATATCGAAGAGAAAATTCTCAGGGGAAAAGAACCCTAACGCATCATCTATAATTATAGACTGGGCATAGTATTTATCATCTTAAACTGGGTACAATTTTATGTTAATATAGAGTAGTATCACTCCTTCAAGAAGATAATTTTAACTGATTGCCTAACAGAAATGAACTGTCATTTACAGGCAAGAAATGCATATTTTGAAACTTTGCTTTGTATTTTGATTTTGCAAAGTGCAGGTTCTGGGCTTCCACCCTTGGGAAACTTGTTTCTTGTGTAAGCCTGTAGTAGATGGGCTGCTTGGGAAGTGTGGGTGACCCAAAACAACATAGGGGGAAGGTGTTCCTATCCTCTGATGGAATCTGAGGGATCCAAAGGGCCCAGGGGGAACCACAATCAACATAAACAGCAGTCTTGGCAAGAGCTTGGAGTGATGTCCCATCTCAAGGTATGTTGAAAATTTCCATGAAATAAATGTCCACAACCAATTTTACAGAAGGTGCAAGACAGATGTGAGGGAAATCCAGGCATGTTTTCTATGCCTTGGAAATGAATTGCTTCCAATGAGTCCTCCTAGGAAGTTTAGTCTACTATGTAGAAGTTACCGTTACCTTATCTTTGTGTTAGTACATCAGTGGCTAGCAACTGGTCTAGCTGTACCAGTGCAGTTGTGCTAAACTGCTGTTTACCTGAAACCTAAGTGTTTTCTACTAATGTTCATCACAGCTCTATAACTGTGTGGTGTGTTACATTGCCTGAGTCTTTTACAGAACTCTTGAATAACCTTAGTTGGAGCGTTCAGCTTTTCTGAACTTGGAGAATAGCACTAACACCTATAAGCGGTGTGGCATGGGGAGAGATTCAGCTAATATTTGTGGAAGAGTAGGAGTCTTTAGAGGCATAAGAGTCTTAGCTAATATTTGCAGAACACTTTGAGGTCTTGGGATGGATGCTGCTACCAAAGGGTAAAGTGGTATTCACATGTTCTGTCATGTCTGTGTTGTTTACAAATAGAATAGAATGATGTTTTGAAGGTCAGAGACCTTAAGAACAATAGTGGGTTTGAAGCAGTCATTTATTTTTACCAAGTTCAGATGCCTGGCATAAACTAGCTGTTTCATTTATGTAGAAGATCTGATCAAACATTTTGGTTGTTTAAAAGAGTTGTTTTTCTTGGTTTTAGGCTGTTGAAATGTCAGATGGTAAAAACAAGCAAGAGTTCCAGATGGGGCAAGTGGAAAAGAAACGTGACAAAGATGGTAATGGGAAAGCTTCAGATTCTCACTTGACTGGGAGTCCCATGACTTCACCTGTGACTTCCAAACCCACTCTCTGTGCAAGCTCTTGTACAAAGCAGCATCCCTTACATGAAGTTCTTCATTATCAGGGTAAGCGAAGGCAGTAAAGGTTTATTTTCACTGATCCCTAGTCCATCCGTGCTAGGAATTATTTGGGAGCGGGAGTCTCATCTGGAATACTCAGCTGTTATATAGCCAAGTAAATCATAAGCCCTCTGTTTTAGTGACCCCAGATTTGAATTAGGGTTTCATGACTTACATTTACAGGTCAAGGAAGTGCCCAGTAGTTTGATTTTATTCACTAGCGTTCAAGCTGTGATTTGCACCAGCAGATGAATTTCTGTCTCTGTAACTTCTAGTGATGATACAGGCTAAATCTATACTTGAATAATGGTGGAAGACAAGGGGTATAAATGCTGCAAAATCCCTGGTCACTGATGGAGAAATAAAAGCTGGTAAAAAGGGATCTATCTAATCAGACAACTCATTTAATACAAAAAATTTGTCTCAGTTCCTCTAGTCTATGGCCAGCTTTCTTGAAGACAAAGGGAGACATAATTTGTACTGGCAAAGCTAACCCTAACTTATAATCAGAGTAAACGGTGCAAATTGCAGCCTTTGTTTACACTAGCTGTGCTAGTCATGGAGGGCTGGAGTATTCCTAATGTATGTTGCTGTCTAATTTGTTATATCGGTGGTGGTTTATTCCCTAATGCTTAAGAAGCAGAACACAGTAGAGGAGACTGAAATTACCTTGCAGTGACCAACGGCAACACCTTCTTTCATGGTGGTAAATGTTAATATGGGAATGTACAAAGATGGTGTCAGGGTGTGCATGGTCGATCGCTGCCATTTACTGTGTCAATCATGTATTGCAAAGGCTCAATTATAAGTGCTTTAAACTCCATAGAAGTTGCTTGACACCTTGCAAGGCTGTGTCCTTAGTTTATGTACCAGTCTAAGGGATGGGCAGAGAGATTTTCTGGAGGGAAAAAAGTTCACTGAAAGCCACTAATCTGTCGCATGTGTGAATGTGGTCTCTAGTTCTGTCCTGGAGAATGCTGTTCCAAAATGCCACCTCTAGAGAGCCTTACTCATCAGCAGAGATATTTATTAACTGCCATCAGTGGCTGTCCATGAGCTATTGTACCCCAAAGAAAAAGGGAGCGGCACAAATAATTATTCCTAAATTCAACAGTTAAGAACATGTGATGTATAGAGGAAGGGAGCTAAACCCATGGGATTGTTACTGTCTAATTAATGGCTCTTTGTTGCTGTGCCATAGACTGCACTGTGCTTTGAGCACTAGCACCCGAATAGGCAAGTTCCCTGTGCTTAGGTTTGGAACTTGCCAATTCAGGCTTCCTACATACTCCCAAAAACTAATCTGAAGACTTCAGTCACGTAAGACTCTGCCTGTATGAGTCAAATAACATGAATGTATGAAATCAAGCATGTAAGCACGCTCATAATAGCCTTCATTTTAGAGGTTAATATTCAAGTGGTTAAACCCCAAAGTACAATGATTATATGAGAAAGTAATTATTTACTGACTTTGAATCCAATTCTGGGAGGCAAATTTTGAATCCAATTCTGGGAGGCAAATCAGAAGTGCTTTGGGGGCTAAAGGTATAGACAGTAACTTGCAGAACTGAATCTTACTTTCTAGCAGACAAAATAATCTGGCTTTGTTAATTACAGTCATTTCTGTCTAATCCTTTTGCCCTGCATTTCTTTGTGGAAAATAGCTTTATGTCCTCTGAGCAAAGATGATCAGGGCAAGAGGGAGGTGGGGGAGGCTGAAACCATCTAAAATGCTCCTTGCTCTGCATTTTGCTACTGGTGTAAAAAGCCACTCATGTTGAAGCTTGTGAGCTTTCTAGGCAAATGAATGCGTGAGGTATGGGGACTTCACACAACTTTTACTGTACCTCCTTACACATCTTCTCATATCTCAGGAGAGACTACCAGTAGCTGTATACTTTTTCCCCTCCAGCTCTGCCTTTTATGTCAGCTGTTGATACTAATGTGTCATACAGAATCAGCTAGATTTTTCTATTCTTTTTTTCCCTTTCCATGTTTAACATTGCTCTAAGTTTGATGTACTTTCAGGAAAGCTGCTGAAATAACACATGTGCAACAAAGAATCTTCTTAAACATGTTAGAAACTTCTGTAAACCAACAGATGATTGCAGTAACCCATGAGGCTCCCTGTGCTTCTGCCTTGGGTTCTGTTGTAACAGCTTAAGATCTTTGAGATCACTTTGATAGTTTTCAGCATTTTGGTGACTGAGATATTTCTTGCTCAGATCTAGTAGGTCTTCCCTTGTGGTGAAACCTATGACAGACTGTCAGAATGTCATGGTGTCATGGCTGCCTTGTTGCCATCTGCATGAGAAATGTTGGGACATGAATGACTGTCTTTTTGGTTTTGTTTTGTTTGGGCTTTTTGCCATGTAAAGAATAGGCAATGGACTAGATAAGTAGTTTTGACTTGTCTACTATGGAGTAGAGGATCTAAAACAAACTAATGTCAATGGTTTTCTATGGAGGCACCATCTACACATTTAACATGGATCTGATGATCTGAAAATGAAGCAGAAGTAGTTACATTTTAGTTGTGGTCTTTTATTGTCAGGTTTATTTTACTGTTCTTTCACAACATTTTCTTATTTTAGCCACAAGTGTTTGACCAAGCCATAGAAGGTCCATGTCACCAAAAGTACAGAGAAAACTTCTCAAGCTTCTGGATTTTGTCTGAGAGGTCATGAATGTAAATATGGGTTTTGGCTGTGGTGATGGTGTGGGTGATGTGTGTTGGAAAGAAGATATGGAAGGGCTGGAAGAGCTGCAGCACAGCGGTGCATGTGAGGTGTGTGGATACAGGACAAATGCCCAAGCTAATTGGGTTGTGCTGGACTAGGTGCTAGCGTTGTTCAGCATGAAGCTGGTGTTTGGCCTAGCGCATCTACAGTTAGGTGTATATTTAGAATGCAGACCTATTTCTAGTCTATATTCTTTCTGAAGTGATTTCTAGATAAGTCATTTATCTCAGTCCTCTTAGAATGGGATCTATTAATTACATGAATTCTAAGCATAGAGCAAAGATGATTAAAGCAGATGGTGCAATGGGATATTGAGATGCACAGTGTGGTTTAACACTGATGATGTCTGTTCACTGTTTGTGAAATTCTTTGAAGATGAATGATATGTCACGTTTCTAATTGATTACATTACCTAGAGTGTTATCTGGAAGGCATTTGATAGGGATTCAAGATATCTGGCTCCATTTCTTGGTATTTCATTGGCTAGCTGAGCAAGTTAATTCTTCCTGTGCCTTAGTTATTCCAGTATTAAAATGCAGATAGTCACCCATAAAACTGAGATAGTTACACTGTCCTTTTTGAAAAGTACTTGGAAACCTACTGATTACAAATTGTGGATGCATTTTTTTTTTTTTTGAGTTATTACTGTTTTCTTTGTTTAGACAAGATAATAATAACAGACATGTCAACATCAGTGAATCTTGATTTGCTCAGAGCAGGCAATGAGAGATGGGAACTTGAATCATTATTGATTTTGATTTAAAGGTCTCTGCTAGCTGTTTCTTTAAAGGAAACAATAAAGGCTGATGCCAGAGCTTTTCTTTTTGCTGGAACTTGGTGCTTCTCTGCAGTGCCTATTTCTAGTTAAAAAAAATCCTAGCAGTTGGCAAATGACAAGTCTTCATTCTAATAGGTGGCACATCACTCTTGTCTGAGAGTGTAAATGTTCTGTACTTAAGAATCTTTGCAGGTGGCATCCTAGATTTAGCGGAGACAAGAATAACAACTATTGCTGTTCTTGACAATTCCGAGGTCTCTTAAAGCCATTTGAAAAGTGCAGAAGTAGGTGCTGGCAGGATCAGGTTTAGGTGCTTTGGAAAGCCATTTTTCTGCTAAACGGCTGTATATCAGCCCAAGACATCACCCACAAAATGTCATCTTTTGAGAGAAGGCCTTTTTTTTTCCAAGTCTTAAATAGAGCTTCCCATCTTAATACTTTCCGAAAAACTTGTGTTTTAATTTGCTGTCCTGAAGAGGTGCATAAAAGAAGTTCCTACTTGATCTTGTGTTAGTGGAGGTTAATGTGGCTGGAAGGAAGGTGGGCATTTATACCAGTAAGAGAATGGATAGCTGCTGGAGGAGCCAGCATCACTGATGGAGAACTGGCATTGATATCCTCTCTCAATCCCATGCTATTGTTATTCAACATGCCTGAAAAGACAGTGAAAAGGAGGAGATACCTTAGGTTAGAATTAGTGCAAGGCATCCACTTCCATGACAGTGTTGTGGTAGCGAACACTTCCCACTGTTCTCCAAGGCTGGATCTAAACTCTGGACCAACTCCTTTCATGGCTGATTTGCTGCTCAGGCCAAGCCCATAACCAAAACTCACTTTCTGCTTTTTGCAGGAAGTGACGCTTCACGCAAGAAGCAGTGTTAACCACTTGATCTTAGTGCAGGTGAAGACAGAAAAGAGCACAGAAGATTGAGTAAATGGCTTTCCCACTTGTAGAACTTGGTCTTGCTAAAACAGTATTAAGATCTTCCAACCTAGCAGACAGTGATCACTACGTGCTTTTTTTTTCCCAGATGTCACTGAAATACCTTCTTGTTGCTAAATCCCAGGTTGAAGGTGCCAAGTCTGCCTTTTATGTGGTCTTGGCCACAAGAGGCAAAAACTGATGCTGCGTTTCCTAGTGCTGGGTGATGTTCGAACACGCCCTGAGCCTCAGCCATTCCCTTCTCCAAACAATTTGTGACTGGAACAGACCAGACAAAATGGGGAGGAAAAAGCTCCTTTTCCAAAGCCAGTTTTAAGCTGGCGTAGGCACAGAGGAATCTGCTCCTTAAAACATTGCTATTATCCAATTGTTGTGGACAGCATAGGAAATATACTCAGATTCCTGCAACAACCGATTTGATCATTTGGCAGCAAGAAGATACGCTGCCAACAGGCTTCTTCCACCTTCTTTTGGGAATGCAGTATCCTCAATACAGGCATCTCTTAAATTGTCTGTTCCTCAGGATCTATGCCACTGTACCAGA